ATGGGGTTTTGCCACGTTGGCCAGGCTAGTCTCAAACTCCTGACCTCAGGGTGAGCTGCCTGCCTCAGCCTTCCAAACTCTTGGGATTACAGGCATGAGCCACCATGCCTGGAATTTAAATCTTCAAAAATAAAATTTGAGGCCAGGCACGGTGGCTCATGCCTGTAATCTTAGCAGTTTGGGAGGCCAAGGTGGGTGGGTCACCTGAGGAGTTCCACACCAGCCTGGTCAACATGGCAAAACCCCGTCTCTACTAAAAATACAAAAATTAGCCAGGCGTAGTGGTGGGTGCCTATAATTCCAGCTACTTGGCAGGCTGAGGCAAGAGAATCACTTGAACCCAGGAGGTGGAGGTTGCAGTGAGCTGAGATCACACCACTGAACTCCAGCCTGGGCAACAAGAGCAAAAACTCTGTCACAAAATAAATAAATAAAATAAAATAAAATTTGAAAATGCCTTGGTAGTAGCAGAATTCTTGAAAAGAGACCAAAAAGTACGAATCATAATGGAAACAATTTGAGTTCAAACGTATTAAGATCAAGAACTACCATGCATTAAAAGATCTCACAAAGAAAGGGAAATTACAAATTACTAACCGGGAAAAGATGTTAAATAGACGTAACCAGCAAAATTTGAGTATCCACAATATATAAAGAACATTTAAAAAATCATCAAGAGGGCTGGACGCGGTGGCTCAAGCCTGTAATCCCAGCACTTTGGGAGGCCGAGGCAAGTGGATCACGAGGTCAAGAGATCGAGACCATCCTGGTCAACATGGTGAAACCCCGTCTCTACTAAAAATACAAAAAATTAGCTGGGCATGGTGGCGCATGCCTGTAATCCCAGCGACTCAGGAGGCTGGGGCAGGAGAATTGCCTGAACCCAGGAGGCGGAGGTTGCGGTGAGCCGAGATCGCGCCATTGCACTCCAGCCTGGGCAACAAGAGCGAAACTCCGTCTCAAAAAAAAAAAAAAAAAAAAAATCAAAAAATCATCAAGAAAAAATCAAGTAATTTCATAAAAAAACTGGCACATTTAGCCAGATGTGGTGGTCCACACCCGTAGCCCCAACTACTTGGGAGGCTGAGGTGAGAGAATACCTTGAGTCAGAAGCTGAGGTTACAGTGAGCCTGATTGTGCCACTGCACACCAGCCCGGGCAACAGCAAGAACCTGTGTGGGAAAGAAAAGAAAAAGGAAAAAGGCACAAGCCATGAATAATCATTTCACAGAAAAGGAAACACAATTAGGAAATAAACATATGAAAATGTGCACAATTTCTTTTTTTGTTTCTTTGTTTTTGTTTTTGAGACAGAGTCTTGTTCTGTCGTCCAGGCTGGAATGCAATAGTGTAACCTTGGGTCACTGCAACCTCTGCCTCCCAGACTAAAGCAATTTTCATGCCTCAGCCTCCCAAATAGCTGAGATTACAGGCAGGGGCCAGCATACTGGCTAATTTTTTGAATTTTTAAAAGAGACAGGGTTTCGCCAGGCTGGCTAGGCTGGTCGCAAATTCCTGACCTCAGCTGACTGCCTGCCCCGGCCTCATGAAGTGCTGAGTTTAAAGGCGTGATCCACCATGCCCAGCCTCAATCTCATTTATAATGAGGTAGGTGCAAATCACAACCACAATGAGATACTATTTCACATCTACCAGACTGACAAAAATTTTCAAAAGTAAAACACTCCTAAGTGTTGACAAGGTAGTGGGGCAGCAGCTCTACTATACTGCCAGAAAATAATTTGGCATTATCAGGTAAGTGTGTAAACTAGGCATATTCTATGACACTGATATATAACCTATGCAATATTATATCCACTGGATAAAAACAACAGAATACAACAGACACATACTCATAGAAGTTTGATTTCTAACAAGCAAAAGACAAAGAAACCAAAGACCTGGAAATAATTTAAATGTTCATTGACAGGAGAATGGAAAAACTGTGGTGTATTCATATTAAGAAATACTATATAGCAGTAAAACAAGAATAAAAAAATTAGCTACAGTAACTTGCATCAACATTATTGAATCTTACAGATACAATGAACAAAAAAATGAGCAGAAGAATGTATATATGTACATACAGTTCAAAAACTCAAAAACTAAATAATTTATTACAAACAGAAGGAAAACAAATACCTACAAATTTCAGAGTAGAGATTACTTCAGTAGTAGGGAGATGTCATTCTGGAAGAGGCTTACTGGGGTCTTTAAAGTATCAGTAATGCTCTTTTTAAAGTTAATGGTAGCTACAGATGTGTTTATCTTTTCACAGACATTTAGATTACATATACTCTTTTGTATGTATGAAATATTTCATGATATAAATATGAAAGTGTAGAAACAAACAAGAAAATGTAAAGTGTTTGTAGATGTACTAGCAGTTTAACAACTCAATAAATTCTAAGTACCATTTTTCATATATAAGGAAAAAATCAACTACATGGATTTTTGAAGGAAAAATAATCAGTGCTTTACAATCAAAATAAAAGCATAATCAAACAGGTAAAGAAAAACATTTTAAGATGTTTCATTCAAAGTCAGTTCCTTAAATGACATGGAAGTTAAAGTTAATGCATTAGGAGAAAGATGGTAAAGGTCTGTATGACTAGAGATATATTTTTGAGATTTTAACATATTTTAACATTGTATTTCTTCTTTGATTTTTCCCTTAACCCACCGTCCACCAACTTCCCACCCTAATTCAAGAAAATAGCGGGCTCAGCTGGGCACCGTGGCTCCCACCTGTAATCCCAGCACTTTGGGAGGCTGAGGCGGGTGGATTACCTGAGATCAGGAGTTTGAGACCAGCCTGATCAACATGGTGAATAACTATCTCCACTAAAAATACAAAATTAGCCAGGTGTGGTGGTGCATGCCTGTAATCTCAGCTACTCGGGAGGCTGAGGCAGGAGAATCACCTGAACCCAGGGAGCGGAGGTTGCAGTAAGCCAAGATCACACGACTGCACTCCGGCCTGGGCAACAAGAGTGAAACTCCATCTCAAAGAAAGAAAGAAAGAGAGAGAGAAAGAAAGAAAAAAGAAAGAGAGAGAGAGAAAGAAAGAAACAGAGAGAAAGAAAGAAAGAGAGAGAGAGAGAAAAGAAAAGAAAAGAAAAGAAAAGAAAAGAAAAGAAAAGAAAAGAGAGAGAAAAAGCAAATAGCAGGGTCTTTGCTTTCTTGCTCCAGAACTTTGTCAGTGTTATTTTAGTGGCCCCAAAGGAACCATGCCTCCCATATTCCTGCCCTGTGTAGTCCCTTCTGCTTCAATTTGAGATGGCCTCATGACCTGCTTTAAATAAGAGTATGATAGAAATCATTCTGTTTTTGTTTGAGTTCTAAACCTTAAGAAGGCCTATATGCTTCCACTTTGTCCTCTGGAGGAAGCCAGCCACCATGTAAGAGGTCTGACTACCCTGGAACCACTTCTCTGTGACCATCTCAGCCTAACCGAGGGGAGTCATGAGAAAGAGACCCAAGGCCCCTGGACAACAGCCCCAGCAGAATTCCCAGCCAACAGCTAGCACCAACTTGCCAGGCTGTAAGGCCGTCTCAGAAGTGACTCCTCTAACCCTCAACTGCCCAGACTGATAGCATGGGAAGCAAGGCAGGTTCCCTGAAACCCTGCCCAAGTTGCATAATTGTGGTTTCTTTAAGCCACTAGGTTTTGAGGTCCATTATTACATAGAAATTCATAATGAAAACAGGGTGGAAGGTACAAATGATACTTCCAGCAGGGACTTTTTTTTCAAAAAGCCTAAACTCTAAGGAGAATGCAGAGGATTCTAAAGACAGGATAAAAATAAAAGGAATTTTTATTTTATTTTTTTTTGAAACAGAATCTCGCTCTGTCACCCAGGCTGGAGTGTAGTGGTGTGATCTCGGCTCACTGCAACCTCCACCTCCTGCCTTAGCATCCTGAGTAGCGGGGACTACAGGTGAGTAGCGGGGACTACAGGTGAGTGACACCAAGCCCGGCTAATTTTTGTATTTTTAGTAGAGACGGAGTTTCTCCATGGTGACCAGGCTAGTCTTGAACTCCTGATCTCAAGTGATCTACATGCCTCAGCCTCCCAAAGTGCTGGGATTACAGGTGTGAACCACCATGCTCCACCGAGAAACACAGGCATTGACAGAGTGCCTTGAAGGAAGAGGAAAGGCAAAGGGTTTTATCCAGATTAAAAAAGAGATTCCCTGTAGGCTGGTAAAATGACATGATTCCCTCCCCCCCCAAATAGCTATATGTACATATAGGCAAATGGGATTTTAAAAAACCGTTGCAAATGGCGCCCATGTCCCAAGCAGCACAAAAGCAGCAGGAAGACGCTAGATCTAAAGAGGCCATGTAGACATGGATGATCCTCTACCCCTACCATCCAGAGCATTGAACTTGTTAAAACTAGGAATGAGGCTGGGCACAGCAGCTCATGCCTGTAATCCCAGCATTTGGGGAGGCTGAGGCAGGCAGCTTGCTTGAGCTCAGGAGTTCAAGACCAGCCTAGGCAACATGGGAAAAACCTGTCTTTAAAAAAAATACAAAAATTAGCCAGGCATGGTGGTGTGTGACTGCAGTCCCAGCTACTTAGGAGGCTGAAGTGGGAGGATGGTTTGAGTCCAGGAGGTAGAGGCTGCAGTAAGCTGAGATCGTGACACTGCGCTCTAGCCTGAGAGACAGAGTGAGATCCTGTCTCAAAAACAAAAATAAACAAACAAAAACTGTGAATGAAGGAACTCCAAAATGTTCTCTACCAGTTTGGTAGATTTGGGGCTCAAAGTCACAAATTATATTACAGAAAGTATTTTAACTGGCAAAACCTGAATTCATGTCACTAAAATTGTCCTTATCTCTTCAGAAACAATAAAAATAAATTTCAGAGAATAGAGGTATTAAAAAAATCACATTCATCCTGTAGAATTTCCCACAAATGGGTAAAATAAAAAATAACTCCCAAAAATCATTTTCCCTGCCCTTTATTTTCTAGGTATTTTTATTTTTTTATAATATGGAATGCTTCACAAGTTTACGTGTCATCCTAGTGCAGCGGCCATGCTAATCTTTGTATCATTTCCATTTTAGTTTATGTGCTGCCAAAGCAAGCACAATTTTCTAGGTATTTTTATTTTGGGGAAATTTAATCTCATCAGCAAATCCTAACAGGACTGCTTTTTTGTTTTCCTTCTTTTTGCCAACTACCATAGATCTGCAATATTTTTTCAAACTGGTCTCATCTCAATATACAGATACAGTGCTATTCTCCATATCGAGATTTTTGTAAGTCTACCTCTATTTCGAGTGAACCACTAAGGGGCTTGGCCACACCACTAGCTTTGGCCAGTGGGACATTAGAAAATGTGATGCAGGGCTGGGCGCGGTGGCTCACGCCTGTAATCCCAGCACTTTGGGAGGCCGAGGCGGGTGGATCACGAGGTCAAGAGATCGAGACCATCCTGGTCAACATGGTGAAACCCCGTCTCTACTAAAAATACAAAAAATTAGCTGGGTATGGTGGCGCGTGCCTGTAGTCCCGGCTACTCGGGAGGCTGAGGCAGGAGAATTGCCTGAACCCAGGAGGCGGAGATTGCGGTGAGCCGAGATCGCGCCATTGCACTCCAGCCTGGGCAACAAGAGCGAAACTCCGTCTCAAAAAAAAAAAAGAAAGAAAGAAAATGTGATGCAGGTCGAGTGTGGTGGCTTATACCTGTAATCCCAGTATTTTGGGAGGCCAAGGTGGGTGGTTCACTTGAGGTCAGGAGTTGGAAGACCAGTTTGGCCAACATGGTGAAACCTCATCTCTACTGAAAACACAAAAATTAGCCCGTCACGGTGGTGCACACCTATAGTCTTAGCTGCTCAGGAGACTGAGGTAAAAGAATCATTTGAACTCGGGGAACAGGGACTCCAGTGAGCCAAGATCAGGATCAGCATTCCAGCCTGGGTAAAAGAGTAAGACTCTATCTCAAAAATAAAAATAAAAATGTGATGCAAGCAGAGTTTCCATAAGCACTTGCACACTGGAGCCTTTTCTTTTGGAAGACTGTGACAATCAAGTAAGAACCCAAGCACTGCTATTAGAGATGTCTACTAGAGGAAAATTGAGGTGCTCCAACCAACAGCCTCGCTACCTGCCAGCCATGTGAGTGAGGCCATTGTGAGTCATCCAGCATTGGCGAAGCTACCGGATGACTGCAGCTGTTTAAGTGATTTCAAGTAAGACTAGCAGAAGATCTGTTCAGCTGATCTTAGCCCAAATTGTCAATCACAAGCAAATAAATGATTCCTATTTAAGCCACTAAGTCATTTATTTTTAAAAATGTAAAGCTACTTATTGATTGCTATTTAGCAGTATCTACAAGAAAGTAAGCAGTATACACTCGGGTAACATTACTATAGTGTTATTGTTTTTCCCGGCTTCTTCTGAACCAGTAAGCTAAATACAGAAATGATTGAGCCTACACCTAATGAATGGGTTGAGGTAAAGGAAAAGCATGCAAATCAAGAGTTTACACTGCAATTGTTCACCCATGTATGCCAGCAGATCTTAAACAGCAACATCTCTAACCATCGATTTATTTTCATGAACAAAGACCTTCTATGAATTATGACTTTTTAGCCAATATAGCATAAGAATTTCAACTTTTTGTAAAGAAGTGGCTCTTTAGAAGGAATCTTTAAATGCCCACTTAGCTAAGCCTTGCTTGGCTAATTAAAACACACCAGTATTGGGCAGGGAGCGGTGGTTCATGTCTGCAATCCCAGCACTTTGGGCGGCTAAGGTGGGAGGATCGCTGAAGGCCAAGAGTTCAAGATCAGCTTGGAAAAGAAAGCAGGATCCTGTCTCTATAAATAGAATTTAAAATTAGATGGGTGTGGTGACATACGTCTGTAGTCTTGGCTACTTGGGAGGCTGAGGCAGAAGGATTGCTTGAACCCAGGAGTTCAAGGCTGCAGTGAGCTATAATTATACCACTGCACACCAGCCTTGGCAACATAGCAACACTCTGTCAAAAAAAAAAAAAAGCCACATCAGTATCTGTTTGGTTGCCTCATCTGAGTAGGGAGATTGTTGGTGATAAAATTTCTTCTTTTAGAAGGTTTTGCAAATAAACTGTTGCATTTATATGACTATAGCTATAGACATTATGGATTCTGATTTGGCTTTTTTTGTTTTTGAGACGGAGACTCACTCTATCACCCAGGCTGGAGTGCAGTGGCATGATCTTGGCTCACTGCAACCTCCACCTTCTGGGTTCAAGCAATTCACCTGCCTCAGCCTCCTGAGTAGCTGGGATTACAGGCACATGCCACCACACCCGGCTAATCTTTGTATTTTTAGTAGAGACAGGGTTTCACCACGTTAGCCAGGCAGGTCTCAAACTCCTGACCTCGTGATCAGCTGCCTCAGCCTCCCAAAGTGCTGGGATTAGAGGTGTGAGCCACCACACCCAGCCCTTTTTTTTTTTTGAGACAGAATTTTGCTTTTGTTGCCCAGGCTGGAGTGCAATGGCTCGATCTTGGCTCACTGCAACCTCGGTCTCCCAATTCAAGCAATTCTCCTGCTCAGCCTCCCAAGTAGCCACCACACCCGGCTAATTTTGTATTTTTAGTAGAGACGGGGTTTCTCCATGTTGGTCAGGCTGGTATTGAAATCCTGACCTCAGGTGATCTGCCCACTTGGCCTCCCAAAGTGCTGGGATTACAGGCCTGAACCACTCTGCCAGGTCCTGATTTGGCTTCTTTAAATTGTTCAATCTAAATTGTTTACATTGTTTTTAACTTGGCCAACTAATTACAAATTATTTAATTTGAAACATTGTGGCTTTAGGAAAAATTGTAACTTGAGGTAATCTATTTCTTGGGCTGCTTAAAATGATGGCATTCCAGAAAAGACTTGAATTTACCCAAGATTGTGAAATGCTATCTTTGTCTTAGTTCATGTAAAAAACAAAAACACAACAACTATGTAATTATGTATTTACATATACACACACACACACACACAAAAAAAAAAAACCAGAATAGCCTTAGGCATTATAGATTAAACACAAGTTATGATTGAGTAATGATTATGGAAAATGTTCCCAACATTTAGAAAAGCTGTTCTCCAACGCAGAGGAAATAATATACCATGGAATCAAATATTCTTTTCTGGTAAAGGAAGCAGCTATAGAAAGCTTTTTTCTACTTGTTCAAAAGTAATCAGTGCTATTGATGAAAAAATCCTACAAATCCCCAAAACAAACCCCCAAAACTCTCTTAAGTAGAAAACAGATTTCATTAGAAAACAGCTGGCCAGGCAGGGTGGCTTATGTCTACAGTCCTAGCACTTTGGGAAGGCGAGGCAGGAGGATCACTTGAGCCCAGAAGTTTGGGTAACGTAGTGAGACTCTGTCTCTATTTTTTAAAAAACGGAATATTTCACACTAATAAGAAAATCAAGACCTAGGTTTTACACACACACACACACACAAACATCATATCATTAAATGGCAGTATACTGTAGTGCAACAATTTTTGAGTTTCATCTTCTGAACAGGAATGCCAAGTTATTCTCTCTTCATAAAGAGAATATACAATTTGAGGACACTTCATGACTGCCTCTTTGCCAGCACGAAGTTGGCCTCATCTGAATCTTGCCATTCCATTAGAAACATTAATTATTCACTGCAGTCTGTGGCACCAATTCTTTGCTTAGGAGCAAGGCTTCTGGCAAAGTCTTCTGGTTTCCCAGTAGCATCCCTTTCCTTTCATTTGCTGTCATCAGATTCATTGTCAGATAAAATTTTTCTTTCTGTACTATCTTTTCCCTAACCAGTTTTTTGAGGATTAAGAAATAATTCAATTAACTCGGGAAAATCTAAGTTTTATTCAGGCTCTCAATTATTATCAGCAAGTGTAAATCCTTTCCACATCAGGGAATATTCCACCTTCCCATTCACTACACCTTGACGTAGTAGTTTTTCCACCACGAAATCCTCAGGCTCTGCTTCATCAACTTTTTTACCCTTTGTATTATGTTTTTTGCCCCTCCCCACCCCGCTTTGTGTGTGTGTGTGTACAGTGCCCCTTTGTATCCTCTGGTTCCCCATCACTGGATTCTATCAACTGGAGGATAGAACATATTTTAAAACCACAATAAAACAACAAAAATAATACAAATGAAAGAACAATACAGTATAACAACTACTTACATAGCATTTACATTGTATTAGGTATTATAAGTAATCTAGACATGATTTAAAGTATGCAGGAGGATGTGTGTAGGTTGTATGCAAAGGCTTCACCCTTTTATATGAGGGACTTGAGCAGCCTTGGATTTTGGTATCCATGGGGGTCCTGGCCCAGAAACCAATTTCCCAAGGATACCAAAGGACGACTATAGTTTTACTGGAAGCCATTTTTAATTGCAGACTTGAAGAGCTATTGTTCACCAGCTCTGAGCTGCACCTGGCTTGGGTCTGTGGCATCTCAAGTGCTGCCTGACACAAGCTTGAGCTACATCCAAGGAGGAAGGGAATGAGGAGCCTCTTCAGGGGCCCCTAAGTTTGGGAGAAATTTGTTATGTAGCAATAAATAACTGATACAAGTCCACTTAAATATTTTACTCTATACTAAGACAGCTATGAAAATACAAATTTGGAGTCAATTGAAGAGAACTAATTAAGGAACTAGGCCATTTCAAACGCTTTTATTTACTTGTGATGAAAATTTAAAAAACAAACTCATCATCTTTCTTAGATGAAAATTTTTTTTTTTATATTCTGAGAACAAAAGTGATGCCATACTGCCATTAAGAAACTGATTCAGATTCGACCTCTCAACAAGATAGACAACAGCGTTCCCAGCAAGAGCTGCCCATAATACTGCAGTACACTTCTCTGGCATCATTAAAAAAAAAACTTAGAGATTATCCTGAAATCTCTTCTAAAGATAAGAAAGAGTTTGTGCCGAGCTTGGTGGCTGACGCCTGTAATCCCAGCACTTTGGAAGACCGAGGTGGGCAGATCCCGAGGTGAGGAGTTCAAGACCAGCCTGGCCAACAGGGAGAAACCCCGTCTGTAACAAAAATACAAAAATTAGCCCGGCGTGGTGGCGGGCGCTTA